CAGGAATGACTGACGAATAAGATATCTGAGTCCATAATTAAGCACAGCATTTCACCACAACTTAGCAATTAAAACACTATTCACCCAGGGAACAGGATCCAGTCAAAGTCTGTTTTTAGCAATGCCTATCAACCAGGATTCTTCCAGAATTGTTTTAAAACAATTCTTTAAAATTACTCAAGGTAATGTCATTCGGGTGCTGTACCCAGACTAGAGTTTGAACAAGTTGTATTCAAATTCAATCACCCCACCCCCCTGTTGTTTCATCTCTTCCTAACTTTGTGAACCAGAGCCATTCCTGGCTTTCTGACCATACGATCCCTATCAGCTATTCCGACTGGACCATGGAAGTCCTATTCCAACTGGACCATGGAAGTCCTGTTCCGACTGGACCATGGAAGTCCTGTTCCGACTGGACCATGGAAGTCCTATTCTGATGAACCTCCTGTGACAAGATCAATTTACAACAAAGAATAACTCTTGCATAGTTAGGGAAATACAGCAACTCATCACACCGAGATAACGGATCATCATCTCCCAGCTGCTGGCAAGCTGTTGGAGCTTCACAGCCTGGCACACATCATGGGTGCCTCTTGAGAAGAGTCAATTTTATATCTAAGGGTGACTCTACAGAACAGAACATAAAAATGGATTGCAGACAGGACCAGATACATCATTTGTGGGACTCAGTGCAACATGAAACTCTGGGTCTCCTTGTTCAAACGTATTACCAATTTCAAGCAGAACACTGAACCCTGCTAAGCGTTGTGGCCCTGTGCAGCTACATAGGCTACACACCTGAAGCTGGCCCTGATTGCAGCACACGTGGCTGGGCCCCCTTAGCATACAAACACGCATGTGTTCATCTGGCAAGTATTTCTTGAGCACCATCTATATATGGTGGTAGGCTTCATCCCTGCAGCATGGTGGCTAAGGTAGGGGCTCCACAGTCTGGTGGCCTTGGTGCTAATTTCAGCTCCACCACTAACCAGCCAGGACTCTGCAGAAATGATTTCATCTCTCAATCCCCGGGCATCCTTATCTGTAAAAGGGGGAAAGAGCCACCAACTTACTGGGACTGTTGGGTGGATTAACTGAGAAAACTCACATAAGGGACTCTGAACAGAGCCTGGCGTATGTGCCATTTAGCTGCCATCGTCATTTGTCATTTTCTAAATATAATGGGAAACTAGAAGAGTCAAACAAAAAGCCAGAGATTGGGAGACTCTAGGCTATTTAATCAGGCTGGATTCCAATTCTCCCCAGGAGTGGGGACTGGTGGGGAGACAGCAGTGAACTTGCTAGCAGGGCCGCAGTATATGAGTCAAACACCTCCCCTGCCATCCCTCCTTGTGTATTGGTGCTTGCTCCTTAAAAGGAGCCTGCAGATCCTGAAGAGGTGGGTCCAGGGCCATCTTCATGTGGCCTGAAGCAGTGTCCAGCAAGCCCTCTGGTGGTACAAGTCACCAGCCGAGAGCCCAGTGGCCAGAGACACACATACACAGAGATCAATTCAACTCTGCCGACCACGCCCAAGGACACTCAGCCAATCTCATTATTTCACAACAATCGTTCCTGCAGGTAAAAAGGAGACTAAACCCACTTTTCCTGGCAAGCACTTCAATGACAGGTGGATCCCAGACTGCCACTCTGTCA